ACAGCATTCTTATCATTATATGTATTTCTTTTTTCTAATTCCTAAACATCCTAATGCCTTCTTTAAACCCATTAATAAAGCATGTCAAAACCCTCATAAAATACCAAGTCAAGCACGCTTAACTGTAAAGTTCTGATGAGATAAGCTACCGAAAAGCAGATACATATGTTGTTAGTATAAGTAGTACAAATTAATTTATTTAAGTCATCCTCAACTATCCAATCTCATACTTATACTATCTTTGGATCCTTATTATTTTGGTGTATCCAGACCGTTACAAATTATAATAATATATATAATAATTATATTACTAATAATAATTATTATATTATATTTATTAATCTTTATTTATATATATACTTACTTTTATAATTAACAATCTACTTATTTCTATTTAAAATTAATTTTATGATACAATATAAATTATTTATTATAAATTTAAAAGTTTAAGTAATAATTTATATATTTTAAAATGAGAAGGGTTATAATAACACTGGTATAACTTTTACTAAGTATTACATTGTTCAATAACTTTATATTAAATGTGAATTTTGTAAATCCAACCGTTAGATTGAAAGTTCATATCACTTTATATGTTTATATCAAGTTTTGTTAAAATTGAACAACAACTTGAAGGTAATCAAAGTGCTCATATTTTAATATATTTTGAAATGTATATATTACGTCAATTTTATTTTACAAGAATGAAGTATCAAATCATCTTGAATTCATATAAAATTTTGTATATATGATCTAAGAGTAAAAAACTTTCAATCTAACGGTTGAATTTATAAAATTCACATTTAATATAAAGTTATTGAGCGATGTAATACTTAGTAAAAGTTACACCGATGTTATTATAACCCTTCTCTTTTAAAATATTATTTTTATAAATTAAATTTTAACATTTTAAATAAATTATTAATTAACTTAATATATTTATTCATCTTAAATCTAAGATATAAAATTCAAAAAATGTATTTATCCTTGTTTTATTTTCTAATTATCAACCATTAATAAAATACTAATTTAAAATCTTATCTAGTTATATCATAATATTTTCATATCAAGTTTAAAATCAAATATTAGTTATACAAAAATATCAAAATCATATAGTAAATTATTAATATGATTCTAGTTAAATAATTTAAAATAATTTAAAATAATCAATTTTATCACACAACAATAAAGAAATACTAATAGTTAAGAAAATACGTTTGTACTCTTCCTATTAGAAAGAGAGAGGATGTTATAATTCTTTTTTTCCTTAAGATATCACATCTCTTCTATCAATAAAATTTAAATATAAAAATTTATTTAAAAGTAAAGTTATCATAAGTTATAAATATATATTATAAATATGGATGAAAATAAATAAGAAATTTTAAAAAATTCATATACTCTAATTAAAAAAAATGCCTAAATATCCAATCGTAAAAAAAATTAAATATTTTTTCACATAAATAACTATTGGTATTAATTATGCAGGAGTGCATATAAATATTTTTTTATTATAAATTAATGTCTTGCTCTTATAAAAAAAAATAAAATGGGATTGATACTAAACAACAATATTATCATCACTTTTAAGCAATTTTTAAATTTTTTAAGTATTATTTAGCGACCGAATAGAATTCTCTCACTAATTTTAACTAATATTTAGCGACTGAATTCAATTCCATCGATATTTTTAACTAATATTTAGCGACCAAATAGAATTTCGTCGCTAATTTTAATTAATATTTAGCGACCAAATTGAATTTCCTCGCTAAAAAAATCAAAATTTCTTATTTAACGACCGAATCCAATTTCGTCGCTAAATTTAACTAATATTTAGCTACCGAATTCAATTTCGTCGCTAATTTAACTAATATTTAGCGATCGAATTCAATTTTGTCGCTAATTTTAACTAATATTTAGCGACTGAATTCAATTCTGTCGCTAAAAAATCAGAATTTCTTATTTAGTGACCGAATTCAATTCCGTCGCTAATTTTAACTAATATTTAGCAACCGAATTCAATTATGTTGCTAATTTTAACTAATATTTAGCGACTGAATTCAATCCCGTCACTAAAAAAATCAAAATTTCTTATTTAGCGACCAAATTTAATTCGGTTGCAACGTTTTTTACAATTTAGTAACTAGTGACCGAAATAGTGACCGATTTTCTAGCAACGACTTATTTTGGTCACTAAATCAGTCGCTATTTTGATTATTCAGAATCGGTCGCTAAATCAGTCACTAAATAGCGATTGATAAATTTCGGTCGCTAATTTCGGTCGCTATTTTGTAAATTTCTAGTAGTATAGAAGTGTGTTCATAAAGAGTACTAACAATTTTGCTTAAGTGTTTTAGTTTTACTTTTTTATGTACTCAAAAATATTATAAGTGTTCCAACTTAAACGAACTCTCATAAGCACAATCATGTTTTTGAGCTGATGGAAAACACCTTGGTCATAACTATCTATGTGTGCCCAAGTTTGATGTTTCAAGGAGATTCAAGTTGAACATCTTCTCTTAGGGAAGATACGTTGAAGTGTCCTATACATTAGTCTCTCTAGTAAAACCTCCCAAGCAACAAGTCTCAATTCAAACTCAGCTTCGCAGAAGACTATTACTAAATACCTTATTTAGAAGGTTACTCAGAAGCACATTCAGAAGGAAGCTTAAGAAGGAATCTTCAAAAACAGCAAGTCTCAATTCAAACTCAGCTTCTCAGAAGACTGGTACTAAAGACCCTATTTAGAAGGTTACTCAAAATGAAGCTTCAAAAGTAAACTGCTTCTAAAGGATATGCTGACAGCACCAGAATAAAAATATAAGATGACACCAACATTACTTAAAATTTAAGCCAAATCCAACATATATATTTTGGAGACTATAAAAGGAAGAGCAAGGGCATTGTTCGAAGCAAGCAAGATTAATGAAAGCCATCAACATACAAGCTAGCCTAGATGTTATACTTGCTTCACACTTTGTTTTATAGAGATCTGATCTTCTAAATTTGTATACATACTTGTAATAGAAAAAAAAAGTGAGAATATTTCCTTAGTAGAAGCTCTTAATCAATGAGAGTGTACTAAAATCTTAGTAGTTGTTAGGATTCAAAACCTGAATCTGTATAAGCCTATCCTACCCAAATCTAGTGTTTAGAGGGTCAGAAAGGTGGCAAAAGTTTTCTAGTTTGTTGAGGTTACTCATAGTAGGAGGTTGTGAGGGTAAGGTTCTCAATGGGTTGTTAAGGGAAAAACTTAGTAGGTAGCTAAGGGTACTATACAAACAATAGGTGGTTGATTTGTGCAAGCTAAATATAGCAGATGGTTGGTGATTGTAATCAGAGTAATTTTTGTTGATCATAGTGTAAAAATCTCAAAGTGTGTGTGAGGACTAAACGTAACCCAAGGTTGGGTGGACCTAGATAAATCTTTGTTTGCAATCTCTCTTACCCTATCTCCCTTACTTGCTTTAATTGCTTATCATAGCTTATAACCTTGTTACGTATTTATCTATTGTGGATATAATTTGTTAAAGGATTCTTCAAAGAAAGAATTAATTTTATACCATCAGAAGCATAAGCTTCTGAAGAACTATCGTATAATAAATCTTTCAAAAGCTAACTAAGTCTTTTAGAAACCTTAGAAGCACCAACTTTTGAGTATCAAAATTTCATTAAAACTTGAATTTTAAGAAATCTACAATTCAACCCCCTTTTTTTTTGGCCAACAGTTACTTCACTTTTTTTTTTCTATAACAAACTTGTGGCGTATTTCTTGGTCTAACCCATCTATTGGGTCCTAATGTCTCTTTCTTGTATTCTTTTATAGGTTCAACCCCACTACACACAAGACAAAACATAATTATTTAATTTTCTAGTTAACTTGAATTTTGAAATGTTTCATGAATCTCCTTACCATGATATGAAGCTAAAAATTTAGGTTAAGATCCCTTTTGTGCTTTGTGTTAGGGGTGTAAGTGGATTAGGTTAGGTCGGGTTTTGATAAATATGTTATCCGACTTGATCAAAATTCAACGGATTGAGTTGAGTCGAATTTATGTTTTTTTATAAATCCAATCCAACCTAACCCGATATTTAACCCAATATTTTCATATACAACTTAGTTAATATAAAAAAAAAATTAAAATAGGTAAATTTGACTCTGCCAACGAACTTATTGGCTACAAAATAAGTCACAAGTAAAAAATTTGTATAAGACCGGATACCAACACCCTTATAATGATTTCGGTGTAACTGTGGAAGCCGAGCCAAACAAGCCAGTTTGACACCTTTCTTCTCCTTTGCAAAATCGTAAGCTTAAAAAAATGAAAATAGAAAATATTTTCTCCAAGACATCATGAGATCCTTATTGTAATCTCCATTGAAAAAGATACGGATCTTTCCGAATTCCAATCCACACATACCAAATGAAAACATGTTGATAAGGAAGACATATAAAACAATATAGCACGTTAATTAAAAAATAACTATCTTATAGAGAAAGTCTATCACTTTTCTGATTGTAGCACGTGATACTAAAAGCTTGGTTTAGTAAAACAATCCACAAAATTGCTTCTACTTATGACTTAATCTCAATATTTATAGACCAATTTATTGCACAAGGCCTAAAGTGGAAAAAAATAGAAAGTGTTAAGTAATGGATCTTCTGCCACATAATACTATTATACTATAACCCGCGTATGTCTTTGGTGGCTGTGGAGTGTTGGTCGAAATTTGACAATCACCTAAGAACTTTGAATGCTTCAAACAAGGACCAACAAAGAAGACCTTCCATAAAACTTCATCAAATAATAATAATAATAATTATAATAATAATATTATTATTATTACTGATAATAATAATAATAATAATACTCGATCTTCATTTTTAATACTCCACGTGAAGTTCAAGTCTTACCCAACGTGAGATAAGGCACTAAAGTCTATGTTTCTTCTGCATAAATTCTTCTTCATTGCAACTCACATCACAAAGAGCTTGAACTTCTAAGAAAATGTTCGATCACCGAGTGCTTAAACGTGCCAAGATATCTATCTTCTCTCTAATCACATTCTCGGCTATAATTTTTCTCCTTCATTATGATCTTATCTACCACGATTCCGTGAACCCTGCGGCAAACAAAGGAGCACTAGATGTGTTGCAAGCTCACACTCACAAATATGGAGAAGGGATGAGGTCAACTCTTAGTCTTATTCACACATCTTTACGTTCCATGAAAGAAGAGAATGAAGGAGTTGGTAAAGGAAATCATAGAGTACTAGTTGCTCCACTTAATGCCACTGAAGAAGAAAGAATTGCTTGGTTTAGAGGGAAGCTTCATGAGTTTAAGATTCTTATATCAGATGAGTTGAGTAGGAAATTCCATGCTCGGGTTCTTGGATTTTTCAGCCATGAATGTGAGTCTCAAATTTTCATGACTTGGGTGTCCCCTGCAGGCTCATTTGGAGCAAGGGAATTGTTGTCTGTTGAGAGTCTTTTCAAGGTGCAACCCAAGGCATGCTTGGTGATTCTATCAAGGACTTTGGACTCAATTCATGGCTATAGGATCCTAAAGCCATTTCTTTATGGGGGGTTCAAAGTTCAAGCAGTGACCCCAGACTTGCCATATCTGTTCAAGGGGACTACTGCTGAATCATGGTTGAATGAGTTGAGGAAAGGGAACAAGGACCCTGGTGAGATTTCTCTGTTTCAGAATCTATCTAACTTGATGAGACTTGCAGTTTTGTACAAATATGGTGGCGTCTACCTAGACACAGATTTTATTGTCTTGAAGCCTTTAACTGGGTTGAGGAATTCTATTGGAGCACAAAGCATGGATCTTGGTAATAAGCACTGGACCAGACTGAACAATGCAGTTCTGATATTTGACTTGAACCATCCACTTCTTCTCAGATTCATCAATGAGTTTGTGTTGACTTTTGATGGGAACAAATGGGGGCATAATGGTCCCTACCTGGTTTCAAGAGTGGTTGAGAGACTGGGGAAAAGGCCAGGAGTCAACTTCACAATCTTGCCTCCTAAGGCCTTTTATCCAGCAGATTGGAAAAAGATTGGTGGTCTCTTTAGGAAGCCAAAAGCTAGAGGTGAATCAAAATGGGTTGAGGCCAAACTGCTTCAGCTTAGTAGTGAGACTTATGGGGTGCATCTGTGGAACAAAGAAAGTAAGAGATTAGAGATTGAAGAAGGAAGTGTCATAGCAAGACTTGTATCTGATCACTGTGTCATTTGCAACTTTATGTAATTCTTGGGCAAAAACTGTTGACAGTATGTTTCTCTCCACCACCAGTGTTTTTTTATTATTTTCATTGTATAGGAACACTTGATGAAAATCACATAGCTAAGCAAGTTGTGAATGTGAAGGCATACTTTTTTCAAGACAATAATTTATCCACTTGATCATTCCAAATTTCCAATGGTGTTCAAAATTCCAAGGCCAGTTTGATGGCTCTATCTGAATATTCTACCACAAATTCTAACTTTAAGCCGTCTAAATCTAAAAGGGAATCTAAATCTTCCACATCTCCACAAACCAAAACCTGGCAATCTCCTAAAAGACTTTTTCCTAGTCAACTTTCGCCTGCCACTTTTGTCATTTCTATTCTGATGAGAGCCATTATCTCCATCTAGAAAACTACCCTTCGAGGCTAACTCGCTTTCTTTTTCAGTTCCAACAAAACGGGTGGATCCACTCTCCTTGATCAAGGCCCAAGGATCCTGAAATTCAAGCTCAGAATCACTTTCCCACAAAGATATGGGCTTGATCATGGGTGAGCCACTGTATGACTCAAAATGGGTTGCCAAACTTGTGTGCTCCATCTCAAATAATCTCCTCATAGATGTGCTTCCTCCTTTCATCAACCCCAATAAATTGCTTGATTTATGGGACGAGGATGAAGCTGAAGATGACAAAGAAGATGATGACGTATATAGAGATTTTTGGTACTGTATAATCTTCCTAATTTTTTCCTTCTGTTCTTCTGTGTTGATAAACCAGTGGCTCTCTTCATCTGTCTCCTCAGTAATTTCAGAAAACATGTTGTGTGTAAGGATTCCAATAATTTGTGTGATGCAAATAACTTTCCAAGATACATTTCTTTTCATTTTATACAGAAGAGATACCACAATGGACAAATCATTAGAAATGAATTATGAAGCCGGCTGCACTTGACATTTGGTGCACGAATGGACATAGGACAAAACAAAATGTATGTATGTTTGAAGGGAGGGAGAACAAATCCTCCCAAATGCTAAAAGACATTCTGTCGAATAATTTAGGCTCACTATACAAATGATCCAAAACCACACACATGGTATTCATTTATAAATCAGTTTATTTCAAGAGGTCAAATGGCATAAAAAAAGTTGTTAGTTTCTACTTATGTGCCAAACGAATGCAGGCTACATAATCAGGATAATTCAGGATCAAAAAGAAGTTTGTTAGTTCGAAAGAAATACCCCAACATCATACAAGTTGGCTCCAACTATGAGAAATTCGTATATCAATTACTTACCGATATTACAATTGATCTTGCACCGCAATATATTATATTAGTTGAAAACTTTTTTAATCAGTAAGAACATGGTTAACACACTATCATTTTTTACTTTAGTTTTTATATAAGAAAATTTACAATTTGAATTTTTGGTGAAACATTTTATAATTTAGTTTATATTTGATAAGCCATTAACCGATGGGTTTGGTATGTAGTATTGGGTTCAATTTTCAAATTATTTAGTTAAATTATGGGGTAAATCACACCGGTCTTTCTTGAAAAAGGTGGATATTACATTACTCTTTTATACAATTTAATTTATTTAACTTAAAATTGTTAAAGCAAATTAATTTTTTTTTTAAATATACAAATATTACAGTACATTTCCTTTTAATATTAAAATACATAAAACTAATAAAATGGGTTATTTGGTTCATTCCGAACTAATTCAATATGGACTACGTGTTATGACTAACTAGACCAAAAGGACCTGAATTTAATTGAGTCTTTTAATTTGATATTCAAGTTTGACTTTATGTGGATTGCTAGCTTTATGACACAGGTTAAAAAAAGCCTCATTCAATTCGGGTTTAAAATTTAGAGTCCAAATCCTATAATTTATTAGATAGGATTTGGGTTAGTCTAACAAGTCCAACCCATTTAATTAGCTCTAAAAGTACATAATAAATTACATTTTTCTACACATGAGTATTAGCTCTAAAAGTACATAATAAATGACATGTTTACTCTGATCATTGTCTCTTCCCATTGGGTGTGGTGGGCTTTGAGACAAACGCAAGGAGCGACCTTTCAAGTTCCCAAGTAGCCTGGGCCACGCATAAAGGGTTCGAAAGGGTTGTAAGGGATGCTTGGTTACGTAATTCGCCTACATTCATGAATGGAATGAATGTGGTCCGAATAGATGTTTTTGACTTCAATAAAAATGTCTTTGGTGACATCATTACACAGAAGAAGGGAGTGCAAGCTAGGTTGAAAGGGGTTCAACTGGAGCTCGAATAGGGTGACTCTAAAAGTCTTTCCAGGTTTAAGGGTACACTCCAAGAGGTTTGTAGGGTTGTGATGAGCATGAAGTCCTTTAAGGCTCTTGCTCCGGATGGGTTCCAACACTTCTTCTATTGAATTGTGGCTCACTGTTAAGGAGGCATCCCAAAATGGCTCTTCTGATTATTCACTTCTCAAAACTTTTATTGTTCTTATTCCTAGGCTGGATACCCCGACTAACCTTAAGGAATTTGTTCAATTAGTTTGTGTAACGTGGCCTATAAAGTCATCTATAAGGTTATTGTGACTTGTCTCAGCCTTGTTTTAAATAACATAATAGGGGCTTTCCAAGGGAGTTTCATATGAAAGAAAGGTATTCTTGATAATATTCTTATATAAGAGGCTCTAAACTTCATCCCTAAAGATAAGTCCTTGATAGGGACTCTAGCAATCAAGGTAGATTTCAAGAAAGCTTATTCGGATCGGGCAAAATTAAGTTGAACTAAACTATTAATTAACTAAATTATATTAATAGCTAAAAACTTATTTTGATCCCTTATAATCTTTTTTTGTTTCAATTTAGTCATTCATTATTTTTTGTCTCAATTTGGTCCCAAACTAATTAATTGGTTTTAATTTAGTCTCAAATTAATTAATTGGTTTCAATGTGGGACTTTCCGTCCAAATTGCTTTAACGAAGTTAACTTTTGGCCACGTAGATGCATACGTGGCATGCACGTGGATGAGAATTTTTTTTGAAAACACCTGGACCCAGAACGGCCCGTTCTGAAACCAGAACGGACCATTCTGAAACCAGAACGGACCATTCTGTTTACAAAATTAAAACACCACCAGTGAAGCAGAACGACCCGTTCTGGATTCAGAACGGCCCGTTCCAAAACTGTGAATAAAATATTCTTTACTTAATTGTGTTTTTGATATTATAATTATGCAATTTTGATCTCTAAGGTTTTAATTGAGTAATTTCAGTCCTTAAAAGATTATAGTTGTGTAATTTTAGTCTCACAATTTTTAATTGAACAATTTTAATCTCTCAAATATCATAATTGTGCAATTTTAGTCTTTCTCATTAAAAATTTAATAATTTTAAAATTTTAATATATATATATATATAATGTTTTAAAAATATATAATTGTTTGTTTATTTAAATTAACGTATATTATTTTTTTTAATGTATCAAATGATATATATTTACTATTACTAAATAAATAAAATTTATATATTATTAGTATTTTAATATTACTGATAAATTAATATCAATAATATTTTTACCCTTTTTATAAATAAACTAATAATTTGATAAATATAACTTAATATATATTAATATACTTTTACAAAAATATAAATATATAAGATCAGATATATATTTCTAATTAATATACTTATATTTTTGTAAAAGTATATTAATATATAACAAGTTATATTTATCAAATTATTAGTTTATCTATAAATATATTAATAATATTATTGATATAATATCGAAAATTATAATATACGTTAATTTGAATAGATAAATAATTATTTAATTTTAAAACATTATATATATATATATATTAAAATTATTAATTTTTAATGGGAGAAACAAAAATCATACTATTATGATATTCGAGGGACTAAAATTGTTCAATTAAAAATTGAAGGACCAAAATCGCGCAATTGTAATTCTTTAAGGACTAAAATTATGCAATTAAAATCTTGGAGATCACAAAACTGCACAATTGTAATACTTGAGAGATAAAAAATGCAATTAAACCAATATTCTTGATTAATTTTATTAAAAAATATAATAATTTTGAAAAATATTTTTTTATGGTAAAAATTTTAAAATTACTTATTTTTATAAAATATAATTGTCTTATAAATAGAGTAATAATTTTTTCTTTTTCTCTTTCTGTTTGAAAAAATATTTAAATATCACTTTATAATTTTTTGCAACTTATTTAAGATTAAAAGAATAAAATGATAAAAATTAATAAGAAACATAATAAAATAAAATAAAATATAAAAAAATATTAATATATTTATTTTATTAGATATAATAACATAATTAAGATATAATTAATAATATATATTTTATAAAATTATTAATATTTTATATATAAATAAAATAAAATAAAATCGGAACGGCCCGTTCTGAAATCGGAACGGGCTGTTCTGGTTGCATTTTCGATGTGTTAATTTTGCACCTGGAACGGGTCGTTCCAGATGCAAAATTAACACACCAAAAGTGCACCCAGAACGGCCCGTTCCGGTTTCAGAACGGGCTGTTCTAGGTCCAGGTATTTTCAAAAAAATTCTCATCCACGTATGCATCTACGTGGCGTCCACGTAGCCAAAAATTAACACCGTTAAAGCAATTTGGACGGAAAGTCCCACATTGAAACTAATTAATTAATTTGGGACTAAATTGAAACCAATTAATTAATTTGGGACCAAATTGAGACCAAAAATTATTGAGGGACTAAATTGAAACAAAAAAAGATTATAAAGGACCAAAATAGGTTTTTAGCCTATATTAATTTAAAAAAAATTAAAATTATTTAAGATAAAACTGAATTAAACTATTTTCTAGTTTAGTTTTAAAAAACTGAACTTATTAAGTTGCAGCTCGGTTCACTGCAATTAACTAAAAATAAAATAAAAAATCACACGTTTCAATTTATAAATGCCCACAACCCACTTGTCCAGGGTTTCTAAATCAGAAATCGCAACTCGCATTTCGCAAGGCTCTTCACTCACCAACCACGGCACGAGTTCTTGATTCACTACTCCTTCCTCACTCACTAACCATGAATTCTTAATTCACCATTCTTCCTTCCTCACGTACCAGCTACAGATTCTCTCTTCTTTCATCATTGTAAGGTTCACTTTTTCCATGTAAAATTTCATCTGTATATCCTTAATTTTTTTCCCTAAAATTTTTGTTTTTTTTATTCCTTTGTTGATTTCCCACTTATGTTTTGTGCTTGTGAAAAACTGAAAAATTGGTCTTTGTGTAATTTTGTTTTTGTTTCAATTTGTGGGTACTTGGGTTATGACTTTTTCTTATTAAATTTTTGACTTTTGAGTGCAGGGGTCCAGTTCAGTTTAGTTCATATCATAGTTCAGTGTAGTACAGTTTAATAGAATAAAAAAATAGTTCAATTCAGTTTATGTGATCTAATTTTCAGTTTAGTACAATTTAATTGAACTATTTTTCAATTTAATACAGTTTTTAATAGTTCAGTTTAGTTTAATTTAATTTGTCCACCCCTAAAGCTTATGATAGGGTCAGTTGGAAATTTCTTGAAGCAACATTGGTAAGATTTGGCTTCCTTGATCATATCCTCCATCTTATTATGTGGGGTGTTATGAACTCATCACTCTATATTTATGGAATGGAGGTAAGTTGTGACCTTTAGCTATGGTTAGCGGTGTAAGATAAGGCGATCTCCTCTCGCTGTATTTGTTTTTACTATGTAGAAAACGACTTGCTATTCATGACAGGGAGGGAACATGGGAACCTATTTCTCTTTCTCATTTTCTATTCGCGGATAATATGATCACTTTCTACCATGCTTCTGAACGTCAAGTTCAAGTCGTTGCCTTGACATTGGATGAATT